GGTAGACTGTTCAAGTTCAAGGACTAGTCTTTTTCTTACGAAATGCATGACATTCAAAAAAAGACAACAAATAAATACTACATGTACAATATGTAGCAATGAGGTAGAAATGGTCATAAAGAACAATGTCTGAATAGAGTCAGATGAAAAAAGGAAACAAAGAAATGAATATTCTCTAGCAACTGTATCTAACCAACAAGGGAAACTCATTCATACACATATTCACACACAGAAGAAAGTGGGGAAGGGAGAGAGAGAGAGATAAAGAGAGATAGGAGAGAGGTAGGGATGGAGAGGGAGAGAGAGAGAGGAAGAGAGAGAGAGAGAGAGAGAGAGAGAGAGAGAGAGAGAGAGAGAATAAGCCTAGAAATAAACTTTTGCTTCTTTTTCCTTTTGTATCATAAGACAAAAAGAAGGAATGAATGTGCTCCCAACCTTGGTGCACTACAAAACCATTTTATAAATATTTAACATTCTATAGGACTGATTCATATCTTCTCACACCACTCTGTGGCAAGGCTGACCCATGCTGCCGACATTCTACATATCACTGAGACAGGGAGGTGAAATTTTCCCGCTTTCAGTCTAATTGTCTTTGACAATTGCAGTGCCTAGTGCTATACCACTTGTGTTGTATTTAAAAACGGGAAAGAGGAGAGACTTGTTCATTAAAGATGCAGTATTCCTGGTTCACACAAATGCATCTGGCAGGTTCAAAATCGAATGTCAACCAAAGGTCTTGGCAGACTGTGAGCTTTAGTTCATGTGTTGGTTAGTCACACGTACAGCTGGTTGTGAATTCTGAAATGCTAACAGCTCCATGTTTGCTAATATGTTTCATTAAATCGGCAGATGATTCAAAACTGAACGTTTTATACTTTTCTTAAGGAAAAAAAAGTCACATTAAAACAGAATTTTGAAGTAGTCATGTGTATTTTGGCACATAGGAAAAAGGAAGAAACCAGTTGCTTCTGGAGAATGTAAAAAAATTGATTCATTTTGAAGTTCAAATAGGCAGTGGTAGAAACAGCACACACATACACACATACACACACGCTAATTATACTTATATTTATATTTATATATATATTAGAACTTTAGTGGCCTTCGATAGTTCAATAAACTATGTGCCTTCCACTCTGTAATATGGATTTATAATTAGGATTCCCAATTCTTGCTAAGAAACAGGAGTGAGTTGGGGTACAGAAATATATTTCTGCTTGGGGTTGAATATATTTTCAGAAAAAGAGGTTCAAAATGTCTCTAAAACATCTTTTTCAACTCAGAAATATATTTAAATTTACAATGACCTATTGCAAGAATTAATTTGGATTTTTTTTCTTTTTTGATTTATTCTTTTGAAAACTGCATAGCCAAGTACTCGGCAACCCATGTAAATTGACCTTGTATTTAGTATAGCCTCTGGATAGCTTTTATCACTTGTCCAGATGGTGTTTGGCCTATGTATTTTAGTGGAATGGTTTATTTTCTCCTTGAAAAGTTTCAAATGCACAAGAAAACATTATACCCGTCTATCTGCATTTGAGTAGACTACAAACTGACTAATAGATAAACATTCTGTGTGAAAGTAAATAGCCTTCAAGTATACTGCCTTCACATTCCAGTGACTAGCTCAGTCAGCAAAGTTCTCCATGTTCTCACTAATATTTTGGAGAGAAACTAGCTGGCAGTGTAAAGGATTTTCATTTGTGTCCCATATAAAATCATACGAACTACCTCTTAAGTTGAGATTGATCCTTTTACTGATGTAGTTTCCCCCTCTTCCTTTTCATCCTTGTTGGAAATGTTATTACAGTTGTGAAGAAGGGAAGTAGGCTGGGTGGTTGAATCTCCTTCCTAGACAGGAAGGAGCTGACTGGTTCATTACATTATACTCATTAGGAGCCGCCTCCAAATTCTAAGCCGTCAAAGGGAGGCCAAGAATATGAGGCCCAGATACTCAGTTGTACTAGGACTCAATGGATTTTCACTGCTCAAGATCTGGAACTTGTCCTACCCCAAGCTCTCAAATGAATTGTCACAAAAGAGGTCCTGATTAGGATAATCCATGAGGGTGTTACAATGATGTCACATGGAATGAAAAACTATAGTAGAGTGTGAGACTTTCATTTCTTTAACCTGCGCAGTTTGCTAACAGATAGTCATAGACTTGCCTAGGTTAAGTGGGAATTACATGCAACTTGAGTTTCTGCTAAATACATGTATCTCAGACCACTCCTGTCTCACACTAATTTAAAGCCATTTAAAGCTAAAAGTCAACATGTATGACTTCTGTTTATTACCAGCACTGTGAGAAAAAAAAAACACACAATTGTCATCTCATATATTTGGCATCGAGTTTCACAAACCACACACTAAAAAACTTCAAAAACCTGGGAAAGTTGACTAAAGAAGATTGGGTTTGTCACAACTTGCCACATTTTTTTTTTTTTTTTTTTTTTTTTTTTTTTTGGTGAACACAGCATATTGGTGGAGATGAAGTCTGAAAACAAAAGATAGACCAATGCTGTGCAGAAAAGTAAACTTGGGAATGAGATCAATATGTGCCCACTAGTTCGGGGATATTAGAATCTCCTGGGTACCATGGGAAGTGCACAGGGTAGATCCATGATATGCCTGTTGCATTAATTCATTTGTGAAAAATCAAAGGAAGTATCTTAGTATCATCATCATTTTTATATCCTTAATGAAAGGCACTGCTTTTCAAATATGCAATATTTATATTTAAGAACAGGGGTAGTTCACAGACTTTCAGAGGACATTAAATTCTAGTTTATTTGTTCAATTTTAGCAATGTGAAAAACAAAGAGAGGGAATGCTAATCAGACATCACAAAATTTTGAAATACTATGAGTTCCCCATTCACTTTCTCTGTGTTAAGTGTTTCAGAGAATTAATTTATAGATGAGCATGGAAAAAAAAATTTTTGAAGGGAAAAAAAATAACAGAAAGACCTTTCATGGGACTGCCATTTCATTTATTTAAAATTACCTTAAAATGTACATTGCTTATTGAATACATAAAATGCCAGTGCTTTGCAACAGTTACTGCATCTCTAAGTTAAAAAAAAAAAAAACAAAAAAACAAAAAACAAACAAAAAGAAAAACAGAAAAAAAAAAAAAAAAAAAAAGAGGGGCAAAACCCAGGAAAATACATTCAAAATGCTAGGCTCCTCTGCTTTGGGCACAGGCAGTGGCTGTGGAAAGCTCTGTCCTGCGCCCTGACTGGGAGAGGCATTGGTGAACATCAGCCAGCCTTCAGTGAAAACTTGCACATCACGCATTACAGGAAACAAGGAACAACCTGGTAGGAAGCAGGAGCTAAGGTGGCAGGGGTGAGAGGGTGGGGGGAGTAGGTGTGGGGATGTGAAAAAGATGACACGTATGCCATGCGGTAGTGTGCAGCAGAGAAAGAATGCAGAAAAGACTAGTGCCTTGGGAAACTCGATTATGGCAACAAAACAAGGAAAAATGATGGAAGAATACCACAACATAACACAATGAGGAACCCCCCACACTTGGCAAGCTCTACTGTGGTAGACATGTCCATGTCTAGTTTTTTACTTGACTTTTCAAAAGAAATGTAAGGAAACCGAGGTAGAAATGAACTCGGGAGAACTACAGCTGGGGTTTCAAGATGAGAAGCGAAAAGTGCACTGTGAAGAGAGAAGTCGAGATGGGGGAGGGGGAGGGAGCATATGGAGGTTCTCTGTGCGAACATAGAACATATAGTTAGTTGCTTTTTTTTTTTTTTTCTTTTTAATTTGTGTGTTTGATTTGGTTCTGTCCTCTGCATTCTGTGAAACAGCACGGCTAGCCTAGGAACTCTTCGTGAATAGAATGACACCATTCCCAGCAGTTTAAGAGAGAGAGCTTCCAAAATAAAACCACCACCACCACCTCTACCATGGCAGTAAAAGGCAGTTATAGGTTTTCGGTTCTGTCACTTTCAGGGTCTTAAATAGGTCTGCAGCTGACTGCTCTAAACACCAACACAAACCAGATACATAGCTTTCAATTAACCAGTGTAACTTTTATGCACATTTAATTTAATCATCAAGGAGAGCAATGCATTAAGAACTCTTCAGTAATTGTTCTGCTCTGGTTAAATTCCCCATAATTCATAACACAACTTAAAAAAAATCCTTCCATTTCTACTTTAAATTGTAAATATTCAGTTGTATCACACTTCGGTAATTTTTTCCGGATACATTCAAAGTAATTTTCCTTGCTATTCTCCAATTGTTGAGGTAAACATACATTTTAATATAAAGTAACATTGAAGCCTAGCCTATTACTCTCAGCAGTACATAGTGCTTTTAACACATTCCTTTGAGGTACTGTACAAATCACAATCACTTTCCTGAGTTTTTGCAGACAAGAACATTAAAAGAAATGAACTGCAGAAATTAAGGTCCAGATTACCGTTACCCTGTTTTACCTGTTCTTAGCTTAACACTGCAGAACAGACAGGATTGAGGAATACTGTTGCTCTTAAAATGGCAAAAATCTGGTTTTCTGTAGTAACACAACCGTTCATCTCTTTAGTCCAATAATGTTTGAAGTTAAAGCTCTTTATATTAGCACATGCCACCAATGTAATTGTGAGGCAAACAAAAAAATAAAGCACCACTCCAGGCACTTGACAGCAACTAAATCTCAACAACAGCAGAATGGAATCAACACACGAGGTTCATGTCCTTCTGAAATCAACACACTTGCACCTTGCGTCTCGGTGAGTGTTGTCTAGCTTGAACCGATCTGAGCATCAAAATATATATGCTTTCTGTCATCTGGGGCTTTCCAATCAGAGGCTCTCATCTGATGCATGTTTCCTCCAAAGCTACCCTGATTCTACAGATGCAACACAATCGTTGTCTTCCCCAGTACCCTTTGCAACTGAAACTCTACTGGAAAGGGGCTCTGTTCCCTACGTAGCAGGTTTTACGTGTGTGTGTGCCAACATTCATTACTTTGTTTTGTTTTGTTTTAAAGATGGAATCACTGACTGCAACCAAACATTTTGTTCCATTCAACGTACATATCAAGCTCTTTTTGAGTTATGCTTGGCTGAATCTTGCAAAAAGCATTTTCAAAGTCTTGATATGTAACGGGCCTCAACTGGCTGGGCATAATGGCTGAAAGGTCTGTGGCTGGCATAGCATGGAGAGGGCCCACTGCTGCTTCCTGACACAAATGAGCCACGTCTAGTCCGGAAAAGCCTTCTGTACGCTGGACGAGCAGTGCAAACTCCTTGTCATTGAGACAGTAATTGTGCTGTGAGAGCAGTTGTACTATTATCTGGTGCCTCCCCGTGCTGTCAGGAAGTGGGATTAGAAGTCTTTTCATGAAGTACCTCCGAAGAGATTCATCTATTTCTTCTGGTTTACTGGTGGCACAAATGACTATGATTTGGTCCTCAGCCGAAGTTAGTACAGTGTCCAGCTGCATCAGAAATTCGGTTCTCATCCGACTGACCGGACTGTGTTCCTCACTCACTTGAGAGGAGAGAAGCATGTCAATGTCACTAACAAAAATCACCGAGGGCTGGCGACACCTGGCCACAAGAAAAGAGGCATGGATAATTTTCTCCGCTTCTCCTAACCACTTCGCAACTAGTCCAGAACCAGCAATTTTGAAAAAAGTGGCCCCCAGCTGACTAGCTATGCATCTGCCCAGTAGTGTTTTGCCTGTTCCCCTAGGTCCAAATAGAAGGATGCTCCTAGGTAAGGCCGTCAGCCCACTGAACGCATCAGACCTCAACACTGGCCACAAAACCTCCTCCTTAATGACAGCCTTCACCAGGTCAAGACCAGCTATGTCACTCCAGTCCACAGGAGGTCCTTGGGTGATGATCTCATTGGTGACTAGGTCAATGAGGTGCGTGTCAGTGTTCTTCAGTTGCTCGTCCACAGAGTGGTTGGATGAGGTAGCTGCACGGAGTCCCGGACCTTGCATCGGATGAGCTAGGAGCTGCCTGTGGTCATCCCCATGCTCACTCATGACTGGCGACGTGTACTTCCCAAAGGATTCACTGGATCTTGATCCCAATGAATTTTTAGCAGTACTGTAGGAAGGAGGGGTCAGAGCCCTACTGGACTGGCTGCTGAATTTTCTCTGCTGTTCAGAGGACATCAGCTGCTTTGTTGGCTTAAATGCTAAGGATGATGTTTCAGCATTTCTGTCAAAGCCATTCCCCCGATTTGTGTTTGAAATGCTGTTGTCAGGCATTCGGTACATAGGACTCTGCGTTGATCTCTGTTGGCCATAGCTGTAATTTCCATAACTGGAGTCCATGTCTCCTTGCCCTGCCATATAGAAAGCTTTCCTTTTGAGAGAACTTGCTGAACTGTTGGCCAGAGTAGAGGGTGCGATGGGTGTCAAACCATGACCCTGGTAGGTGTAGCCAGGAACAGTAGTGGGAGGCAGAGGGGTAGGAGCAGGAATTCCTGAAGGTAGGTATGCTGAAGGAGGAGGGGGCGCTCCACCAGGGCTGTACCCAGATCCCACAGCAGTCTGAGGAGGATAGCTAGCAGAGGGATAGCTGTAACTAGAGAGATTGGAAGTCCCGTTGTAGCCTGGGACCAGGGCTGGTGGGGGAGGAGGAGGGGGCGGAGGCTGCAGGAGCCCAGAGCTATGCAATGGGGATGGATGAGGTGAAGGAAGTGCAGGTGTGGGCTGACTACTGTAGGTAGAATGCAAATATGATCCGTTGTATCCTGGAGCATATTCCTGAGATGGGAGCCCTGCATGAAGACTAGGTACTGTGTGGCTTCCACAGGTACTACTAGAGTAACTTGGTTCTGTCAGGTTGCTGGCCACCCCAGGGGAGCTCCCTATACTTGCAGATACATCTACCGGAGGGAGGGCTGAACTGACACCTGCTTTGCTGGCAGTGATGACATCTGGAACGCAGTTCATAGGATAAACGGCTTCTGAATTCAAGGAAGGCTGCCAGGGTTCGCTATCATTTTTCCGACCGTTCACTAGTCCTGATGGTGTGTCTGAATAATTGCTGAGTACAGGTCGGTCTACAGGACCTTCCAAAATGCCAGAATACTTCTCTGCATATTTTTTCAGAAGGTTGGATGCAGTCAGAGCAGATATGTCATCATTCGCCCAGGCGTACTGGTAGGTGCGCTGCAAATGACCTCTGTAGGCTTCAACTTTGTGGGCAGGAGACCGAGTGGTTGAGGTGATGTCAAAGTGCTGTTCTGGCCACTGGGCATGCTCCGGCGTCCACTGCATCTTCAAGCCTAAGCATTTGGGGGGAAGGAGGGGAGAAAGTAAATTTACTTAGACATTCTTCAGAACACTTAAAGCTTCCTCCCTGACTACATCTATTATTTATTATTTCCCCTTAATAATATGGACACAGGCAAGGATCTTCCCGGGTCGTAACATCTATTGTGATATCAAAATATAAATTCTTCAAAATGGTGATAAAATCCAACCCCATAAAAGACAAATCCAACATAAAAGAACACCATAGAAAACTTATTCAAATATATATTTACATTCATGTTTATATGCAAGACTTACTGTTGTCAATCCCACCAAGTTACATGTTAACCACACATGCACTTAATGTATATGGACATACAAAACACTGTCCAATTAGACTTCAATCACGGTTGCTTGCAATAACACACACATACATTTTACTATCTGGCATGCAATGCTGCTAACATGTTATGCCGCCTAGTTTTTTGCTTCTCCCCATCAGTTTCTGTTTTATATTTTAACAATATAAAAATGAGACACAGCTGACAGACCGTATCTGGGATACCTCTCTTATTTGGTACTGAACACCTAGTTAGCACAGTATAATGCTCCCTGCACAGAACAATATGACACAGACATAGCAGGTCATTCCATAATCCAACTCTCATCTAAAGTGGTCCACGACAGTTTCAAATCTGCTTCGTGGAGTGCAGCAAAGCAATCTCCCAGGCAGCGCTCCAGCGCTTTCATCGCACAAAGCCTACAACTCGGTATGAATTACAACTGGCTCCTTTCTGCCTCTCAGTTCTGTTGTTGAATCGAAAAAAAAAAAAAAAACAAGCATCACTTGTCCGTGGGCCTTCTGGTGTTATTCTTCCTCCTCCTCTGATGATCCTCCTTCCCTTCTCCCCTTATATATTGCAAGGTACCAAGAGGGGAGGGAAGAACACATATACAAAAGAAAGAGAAAGAGAAAACGGGCAAGAAGGGATGATGAGTGTGGAGGGTCTGGATTCTAACATAGTGAACCATGTGTGGCAGAAACTGGACGAATACGACTCAGCAGTGAGGTCATGGGAGTAATTCCATCACCTGCCAGGTTGCTAACTGAAGCCAGCGACTCTGCAGTAACCCCGAAATGAGTATTTTCTGACTTAAGAGAAAATACTCAGCTATTAGAATCAGACAGTCATTTTGATTTACAACTTTCGAAAGGACTTTTGAAATTACCTGCTTCACATACTACAAAAGCAGTGCCCAAAGCGACTAATTTAAGATGTACCCTTGAGGGATTCATATAGTTAGTTACCAAAGAGTCGGGCAACTCCATTCTCCTATTTTTCAGTGCTTGTTCATCTTAACTCTAATCTTCGCTCACTTGGAACAAACACATCCTTTTCTGCTACAGCTGTATTAAGATACCCTCCTTAATCTCTTTTGTATTACCCAAAGTGAATTTTGCAAACCGTCTTGTGCCCTCTGGCAAAGAACCCTTGATAAGAAGAAGGTCTGGTCTAAATGAAGCAGCTGTGGCATTGGTTCCCTTCCGAATTCCCCAAGCAGTGTTGACAGCTCCCATCCCCTTCTGTTCCACCTCCCCCAGCCACTTCAGCTCCTCATTGCCTGACTCTGGCTTCTGACATGGCCAGCTTTGACTCGGCCAGCTAAACTGAACAGAGCACACAGTTTGGTAACAGAATGGCATGTTGATTCCCTTCTGACTCCCGTCTTCCTTGTTTGCAAAACCACTGCACCAGACAGTGGAAGTTAATTAGCAGGAGGATGCTGTGCTAATTGTGTTAATTTACAAGGTTTTAGTCAAAGAAAATCATGCCAGGGCTGGCACTGCTGTCATGCTTCCGACTTAATGATTAAGAAATACTGAAAACAAGGTGGGAAGGATTGCAGTAATTACACAATAAATGAATAAAGCAACAGGATTCATTTGCAAATATAGTTTACTGCAGTTGTACTCATTTGCATTTGGATTTTTAAAAAGGATCCATGCAGATATTCATTTGCAAATCACCAACTCAGTGAAATTAAGTTTGAATGCTGCACAAGTTAATCAACCTTTGTGTGTGTGTGTGTGTGTGTGTGTGTGTGTGTGTGTGTGTGTGTGTGTGATTAATAAAAAATACTAAAGGTCTTACTTCTTTTGTATATGCAACAGATCCTTCACTTTACTTCAGATCTTCATAAATGTTTTAAGACTCTATATACTTTAAAGCATTTTCAATTTGGAAAATAGTATTGTGAACCCCAAAGAAGTACAGTTTTATCCTTCTACTCTGAGAAACGGGGAGGGCTGAGCAGCGCTCTAGGAATAACTAAAGTGATTCTCCTAATTGTTTCTGCTTTCTCAATCATTACTTTTTAAGAGGAGAAAAATACACCACAAAATGGGTGAAATGACTGAAACTACACTTAAAAGGGGGAGGGGAAGATGCAATTTTAATGAAGTGGCTTTTCAGGAATCATACTTTCATTAAACTCAACTGGAAATTATTAAGGGCAAATCACCAGGAACCAATCGCAAGTAATCAGTATCTAAATTCTTCTTGCGTCAAGGGATTTATTCCGAGCTTTACAGAAAGGGGGGAATATAAATGTGACTGCAGTGTAGAACTAAAAGCCTATGGATTCATTAATCCCATGATTATTTCTAAGTAATTTCTATTAGGATCTTTTCTCAATAAATAAATAAATAAATAAACTGAAAATACTGAGTCGTGAAAATGGTAGCATGCAAGCTACGACTAGGCATTTTATTAGATAGATAAAGAAGAAGCACGAATAAGTATCTCAGAAAACAATTTAGACGTCACAAGCAATGGGGTTTAGTACAATGCATGAGTGGGTAAATGTGCACCTGTTTATGATGTACACATGCACACGTGAACATGCAAGAACACAAAAGGAAAGGATTCGGCTGTTTCCTAGTCAGTTGGGATCACTTTGTTGGAGTTAGTTAATAACCATGATAGAAAGAAGTAACCTTTAATAAAAGGGAAACAGCTTTAAATACAGAATAATTCAAAAGAAAAAGTGAGTGGAACTATTCTGCCTGCCTTGGTGTAAATAAAGTTCTCTTATAAATTAGTCATTTAAAAAAGTGCAAACATGATTTTAGAATGTTACCATTGCAGTAAGAAATAAGTCTATGCAGTTTGAACTAAATGGGTTGCCTACTTAAACTGGGTATTTCTGTGCTGTTTAAATGTAGCAAAACTAATTGAATTTCCAAACATTTCTATTTCATCTGAAATTAAGCAAAGATCTTATCCATCAAAGTAATTTATTATAATACTTAATGGATTGGATCTGCTTATTGAGATAATCAAATGTTTTTTTATTGATGCATACTAAGTAACAAGAATCTTAGGGGACCTGAGAAAGGAAAGCCTGAGTTCTGTTTTACCTGGAGGATACAGGATTGTTCCCATCATCCAGGAGAGCTCGGGAATCATCGATGCTATTTGAAAGCTAAGGTTACTCATTAAAAACAAACACGATTCTGATATTGTTGAAATCCATAGAAGTCAGTGTTCAGGAGCCTGGCAGGGTCTTGGTAGCATAAGGAACCTATTCATCGGTCCTTAAATCTTAGCAGTATGTGGAGGGGGCACCACCTCCATTCTTGGTATTATTCTTGTTTACTGATGGTGACAAAGTGTAAGGAAATGTGGCACCAAATGTTCTTTGGACAAAGGTACCCTGCCCTGGTTGACTGCATTATTGTCACCCGTGCAAGCAGAAGGCTCCTGCCACCTAACCTGGTATTCAAGCAATGAGACACATTTTAAAAACAGCTTTGATGTGATTTTTTTTCCATTAAACATAGAGAGAAAAAAATTCTGGGAATGATTGTATTTTGTATTTAAAAGCTTGTCTCCTGAACAGTAGCTCCCACTGTTGTTTAGAAGCATTATGCATAGCACAAGAAAAACAAAAATCAGAAAATAGTTAGGTGTCTTGGCCCAGACCTTTAAATCCAATATTTGGGAGGGTGGAGTGGGAAGTTCATGAATTAAAGGCAAGGTATAAGGATACCTTGCTCAGACAACTTCTTCCCCTCCACAAAATAGAGGAAAACAACACCCATAGTCTTTAAAGATAATTAAAGAAATTACTCCAAAACTCTCCATTTTTATTTTGGAAAATATGAGAAATTTCTTGTCATAGCTGACACATTTCACAATAAAATGTACTGATGCTTCAAAATAATTAACGAAGTTTTAGAAAATTCACTAGATAATGTAACAGAAGTGTTACCTATAGATGACAGATTCTATGGTGCAATCTTAGAGCTTTTGTTCTCCAGTTTGTATTACGAATGAAATGTCGACATCTAAAGAGCATCTCTCTGTTTTGAACATGACAGAGTGGGAATTTGTATGACATTTGCCATTCTTCTCACTACTGACCATTTTAGAATCCAGTGCCTAAGCAGTCACTGCCTTACAGTTTGGTCTTTAATTGGTTTTGAGGCTGAACAACCAAAATGTCTAAAGTTCTGCCACAGTTTTAATATTTAAAGAAAACAATAATAGACAGCAACAGCGAAGAGAATAATTACAGGAAAGGGAAAGAATCAGAAATAAACAGGTAGGTTACCTAGAATCTATTTTTAGCTTATATTCCTAGAATTACCTGGAGGCACTTATTTAGTACCCCACCTTAAGACTTGTGGGATTTAACAGTTCTAGTTCTGGCAAGCTATATTTCCATTGTGTTCCCATGGGGCACCTCTACCTGCTCAGGGCAGATTCATTTGTAGATGTCCTCAGACTCACAATGGTAAGGACCCAAGGCAGGTGTAGTGGGCTTACTCCTGAGTAGCTTTGCAACACTGCTCATATGACAATATGCCTATTATGTTCTATGGGTGACTGTACCTCTGAAATTTTCTTTTAAAAATGTAATAATCTTAATACAATATTTATCAAGATTCTTTATAGAAAGCAACAGTTGCTGGAATAAACAGAGCAAAGTAATTATTAGAGTTTAGAGGCTCTATGGTCTGTTAATG